CCGCGCCTTCTCCCAGGGCGAGTGCGGCGTGCAGCCGGGGCAGTGGCCCGGGGGAGGAAATGTTCGTGTTCAGTTGTCCAGACATCATCGAAGCCCCACACTCCTCACGTAAATCCCCGCTGGCTGTGCTCTCCCCGCCTGCAGCGGCGGATGAGCTGGAGCCTCCCGGTGCTCAGGGCCGAGGGCGGTCGTGGTGGCTTTGGTGGCTCTGGCGCCAGCCTGGAGTTCCGATCCCAGAGATCCCAGCCCCGCCTCCCGAGCCTCCGTTTTCCCCTGTGTGGAATGGGTGACCAGTGACCCAGCCTGCCGGCGCTGCTGGGTGTGCTGAGCGGGCCGCCCCAGCTGGCTGGTGCAGAGGCCCGAGGACAGGAGCAGCGTTCGTGGCCAAACACCAAGTTCCACCTGCCTGCTTGTTTGTGGAGGGGATGCTTCTGGAAGTGAGGCTCGCCACTCAGGCCGCGGCAGCTGTTCATGGGGACCCCGGCGCCTCCAAAGCCATCGTGGTCACCACTGCGTGGCGGGGAACAGGGCCCCTTCAGAGATGTGGGCTGAGGGTGCTTCCTAGACAGTCCTTTCTTCCTTCCTTCACTTGTCCATTCATTCACTAGATATTGAGCCCCTAGGATGGGTCATTGTCCAGGGCATTTGGGACGCAGGGGGAGAAGATGGTCTCATCTGCTGTCCCTATGGACCAGCTCATCACCTCATGGCCACCTGTTTACCCCAAGGGCCCCAAATTTGAAAGATTTATTCCAGCAAGCTGCATCTATTAAATAATAATGAAGATGTTTTAAATGTTGTTTGGAATCAGCATGGCATAAATAAAACAAGAAATGAATTCATTTTTTCATTTTATTATTGATTAAAGACATGGTCAGCTGCCAGTCAGAGTCGGTGATTGGCAGGCTCAGCAGTGCGGCCCCCGGGGCTTCATATCACCGCGGCGGCATGTGACTTGTCACAGTGAAGCAGTTTTAGTGCCACTTGTTGAAATAGTTCAAGAAAATTCAGTGTATCAATGGGCATTTGGGGAGGCCTCTGTTGTATGACACTAATTTTGGATATGGAGACCCCACCTCTCTCAGAACGATGCAGAGGTTTCCTGTTTTGCTCCTGTCTCTCAGTGCTGGGGTACTCATGAGGTAGCGTGGGGACGAAGCGTGGCCCCTGGTATCCTGTGTGTATTAGATGCTGGGGAGATGCGAGCTCCACGGCAGGGCAGCCATCCTGTTTCCCTTTCCAGCGCTGCCTGGGGAGGGAGCCAAGTGAGGGGTAACAGAGGCGCTAGGGGGGCCCTAAGGCTCCCGTTCGGTGGGGCAGGGCCTCCATGTCACTTCGATGAGTGGAGCTGTGCCTGGCAGTGTCTCCCCAGTCAGTAGGTGGGCCACTGAGTGGCCACAGTGGACCCTTGAGCTGGGCCAGGGACCCCCCCCCCCGAGCCTGGGGCACACCTGGGGCCTCATGGCTCAGACTCGGGGCCCTGCACTGGGGCCTCCTGAGAGCTAAATGACAGAAGACAGTGAGCAGCAGGCCTGGTTGTACTGGCCTGGGGAGGGGGCGGCTGGGCACAGAGCCTGGGTCCTCACATTAATCTGATTTTAGGCTGATTAGGGCTGAGAGCTGGCTGACATGTCCAGCACAGCCGCCCTGCCTGGAGGCGCCCCCAGCCAGGCCTGAACAGGGCATTGTTTGGTGCCAGGGGCTAGAGGCCTCCTCGTGGACTGGGGCTGAGGGGCAGGAGGTGGGGTGCCCATGCCCCATGGAGTGCCCTAAACAAATACAGCGGGGGCTGATTCACTTGTGGGCTGCTTGGCAGGGTGCCAGTTTTCTGGGGACAGACGCTTATTGTGGCCTCTGAGCCTGACTTCTGAGGCTGAGCTTTGGTTTCAGGACGCCGGGGAAGCCATGACCGTCCTTTGTAGGGAGCGGCGCAGGCTGAGGAAAGAGGAGAATGCCTCTGGCCACAGGATGGGCAGCTTCTGGCCAGTGTCTGGGCCCCCTGTCACTCAGCCTGTGGCTGAGACGTGCCCGCAGCTGCTTTGGACCTGCGTCCTCTCACTCTCACCTGCAGGAGTCTCTCCCAGAATCTGCACCCATCCCTGCTGTGATAGAGGGATCGTGAGGCTTTGAATTGCCAGGCTCCAGCCACAGGTCCTCCTGGGCCCAGGGGTGCTGGGGAAGGAGGGGACTGGAAGACAGGTGAGTGGACATGAGCAGCAGAAACAGCAGCTGGCTTAGTGGAAAGAGGAACCCAGGAGGCTGGACACAGGCCCAGCCCTTCCTTACCCTGCTCCCTTCCACCTCTGGGTCTCAGTTTCCCTAACTGGAGTGAGGGAGATAGGTAATGACCATATCACTTACCAAGGAAACCAGCCACTCAGGAGAGTGAAAGGGATGCTGTTGACAAGTACATAGGATGGGGACCTGGGGCTCATGGGCACCCTGGAGACCATTCACTGCTCTGAAGTGCGTGGGTTCAAATCTCAGTTCTGCCATCTTCTGTTTGGGAGCCAGAGTTCTTTTTATTTTTTAATTAAAAAAAAAATATATATATATTTAAAATATATCTTTATTGATCCCAGAGAGAGGAAGGGAGAGAGAGAGAGACAGAAACATCAATGATGAGAGAGTCATTGGGGATGGAGCCCGCAGCCCGGGCATGTGCCCTGACTGGGAATCGAACCTCGATCTCCTGGATCCTAGGTCTGTGCTCAACCGCTGAGCCACGCCCGGCCGGGGGTGAGCCAGATTCTTAACTCTCTGAGCCTGGGTGTCCTGATGTGTGAAGTGCGGGAACTCTTGGGGGGTGGAGCATGAAGGCATCAGTGGAAACTCCGTGCGTGGATGCCTCATGGGCGCTGGAGCCTCCTGCGTCCAGGTTCTTTGCCCCGGGCCCGCTGTGCTGCTTTCCCTGAGCGCTGACGGTATCTGTGCACCTCTTCCTGGGGCGGCCTGGAGCTGGCCGGCAGCGGCTGTTCTGGAAGGTTAGGGCCCCGAGTGGCCACGGAGGGGGTGGGGCCAGGCCAGGCCAGGCTGACGCCGTGTCCTGCTCTGCGCCCGGAAAGGAAGCCTGGGTTTGCCAGCTGCGATTATGGTTAGGAACTGTGTAATTAACTCTAAAAATGGGAGGCTGAGGAAGAATTAAAATAAATGCTTAGTGGAAATTAGAGATGAGTGACGTGCAAAAAATAGGGGAGCCCGGCTGGCAGCTGCAGCGTCCTGTGGGGCGGGCGGGGGGACAAGGGGCGGAAACAGGCAGGAATGAGGGCTGGGCCGGGTTCACACCCCACCTCCTCAGTGTGCAGCCCGGCACATACGGCAATAGAAACATATTCTGTCTTGCTCCGGAGGCTGTTAAGTCCAACGTCAAGGTGTCAGCAGGACTGGCTCTTTCTTGGGGACTTGAGTGTGCCCCAGGCCTCTCCCAGCTTCTGGTGGCTCCCTGGCCACCCCTGCCTTTCTAGGCTCCTGGGAGCAGCACCTGGGCCTCTGCCCCCATCGTCACAGTGCCTCTGCCCTGGGGTCTTGTGTTCCCTGTCCCTTATTTCTTTAATTATTTTTTTATCATGGTAAAATATATACAATATAACTATTACCGTCTTAACCATGGTAAGCGTACACTAGAGGGATTAGGTACATTCGCAGTGCTATGTAACGATCACACTATCGTATCCAGAATTTCATCTTCCCAAATGGAAAACCTGCGCCCATTAAATACTAGCCCCCACCCCTTCCCCAGCCCTGACACCCACCTTTCTCCGTGAACTTACCTACCCCAGGTGCCTCTTAAACGTGGAAGCTACAGTGTTTGTCCTTCTGTGTCTGCATTCTTCAAAAATGTCACATCTTGGACCACAGAGGGTTGTTAGATCCACATGTGGGTGGATATTCAGTTTAAATTAAGTGGAATAAAATTAAGGTAAAGATGCACTTTTCCAGTTGGAGCAGCCACAGTTCACGTGCCCAGTGGGCATAGAGAGAGCGTGTCCATCGTTCGGAAGGTTCCCTTGGCAACTGCTGTTCTAGGTTCCCGAGACAGAAGAGACGTGGCAACGAAAGTCGTGTGTATTTTTTTTTTTTTTCCTGTGCTCTAATGATATTTTGGTTGTCCTTTTTAGATTGAGGAAATGAAAGTAAGTGCACTGTGAAGGTGAGGCAACATGTGGGATCCATGTTAATTTCCTGACTTTGACATTGGTGCTGTGATTGTGGAAGGGGGTGTCTTTGTCCTTAGGAAATACACACCCAGATTTAGATGTTTGGGGGAGAGGGGGTCGTGTCTGCAGTTTTCTCTTACACATTCAGATAAATGACACACACAGTCCCCCCTCGCCCCCAGAGACACACACACACAGAGAATACTATATGACAAAGCAAGTGAGTCAGTATTCTCGGTGACCAGGGACCAGCCCCAGGCAGGACCAGAGGACTGGGCCGAGGCAGAGGGTGCTCCGGGGCAGGGCACCGCCTGCCCGGGGCGGGTGGGCAGAGATTCTGGCTAGGCGGGGGCACGCCCAAGGGAGCTCTCAGTGCAGCTTGGTTTATGCGGGGCCCATCCTTTCCCTGAATCTGCCCATTTGTCCGAATTCCCCTGTGAGCAGGGAATTCCCGGTGGCCCAGGCCCTCTGCGGCTCTAGAAATCGAGCCGTTGAGCACCTAGTAAATGGGTATTGATGGGGATGTCTGAAGCCCAGGTTGCTCTTCTGCTTTGTGGGCCGCCGTCTTTGCCTAGCTGGACACCCATTCGGAGCTGGACTGGGTGGACTGGTGGCTCCCACATACCAAATGCCATTCTGTGCCCTTAGGGTATGAACTTAACCCAGTAGGCGCTTTGTGTTAGGAACTCAGGCCTCAGGAGCCGAGCCGCTCCCCCTGGTCTACAAGTTAGAATCAGCGGACAGGTTTCCACCCAGGGCGGAGTGACTCCAAAATCTGCGCTCCAGGCCACCTCGCCTGCTGTCCCCATAAGTTCCTTACCAGCTCCTTCTCACGGGGCTGCAAGCTGGCGATCCGGTACCCCCCCGTGCCTCCTACCCCATTGCGTTGCCAAGCCCAATTCAGACTGGGAGCCCAGGTATTGGGGTACTGGGTGGAGGAGCCGCCAGGATGTTGATCTGGGAATTTTGGCCTTTGTGCTGCTCCCAGCCCCCCACGACTTTCATGGGGTGGTTCCTGGCTGTTGGCTGTGTCAATTGTCAAGTAACCGGTCAGTCTGTGCCAGGAAGGAGGTGCGTGTGTGCCTGTGAGCATGTGAGTGTGTGTGCGTGTGTGTGTGTGCACGTGCTCCGTCCTTGCTCAGTCAAGGTCAGCATCTTTTTTTCTAGTTAAGATCATCAAGTTGAAATGTGCTGGGTCCCCTTGAACAGGGTGGGGGTGGGGCACATGGTCATGAATGACCGAGGTGAGCCTGAGCTGTCTGCGACGTCTGGGCCACTGGGACAGAGACCGGCGGGTCTCTCGCCGGAAAGTGTTGGTCCTGAGGGCGCAGGGAAGCAAATGTTTGCCGTTGCTGTTACTGTTGTTCAGTTCCACGGTTTAATGGCTTTTCTCTTCTCTTCCCTAGTTCCTCTGTTTGAAGAACATACGCACTTTCCTTAAAGTATGCCACGATAAATTTGGATTAAGAAACAGTGAGCTGTTCGACCCCTTCGACCTCTTTGATGTCCGAGACTTTGGGAAGGTAAGTGACCTCTTCCTCCAGTCTCAGTCCCCGAGGCATGGTGCCCGAGGTGACCGAGGGCCGGCTCAGTGGCCGGTGGGCCAGATAAACAGACAGGGCCTGGCCCTGCAACACAGAGCGGAGTGGGTGCTTCCAGCCCCTGCCCCGCAGGTGCAGGCGGGAGCCTGTGGCGAACAAGAGGGGCCGAGTCGGGGGCTGGGGGCACCAAGTGCTTCCTCCTCAGACCATTCAGGGTGAGGCCAGGTGTCGAGGCCAGGAGGGTGGAGGCACAGCAGGGCGTGGACAGTGACAGAACAGGGGATGGAGCCCTGGGGGACCCGGAGTGTTTACTTCCTGCTCGGAATCCTCGACTCTTCATGGGAGAATGGGCTGCTGTTTGGACCAGCTCCTGAGGGGCCGGCTGGGGTGCTGCAGGTTTATTGTAGCGCTCTGTGAGAGGGGCCGTCGTGGTTACACCTGAAACAGGCTCTGACAGGTGTGAGGCAAGCGGGGGGGGTCGCCTGAAGCCCAAGGACCTGGAGATGATCTCCTAGGTCCACAGCAAACAGCTCAGAAGTCTCCCCATGTTGTCAGAAAGTGTCACTTGGCAGCTGTCCTGAGAATCCTGCTGGCACAGGGGAGGGGACCTGAGGCTGGGCAGGTACAAAGACTATTTGGCTTCCCGGTAAGCCTGGGTTCAGGGTGCCATGTGCCATCAGATAGCACAACAGGTCCAAGGTCACTCCTTTTAAATTGCTGGGATCAGGACCATGACCACTTCTTGAGGGTTTGGGGGCTGCGGGGTTGAGTGCAGACCGGGTTCGGATCTGCCCGTAGCCCAGGTGTCCCAAGTCCCTTCGAGCTCCTGCAAAATCTCAAGGCCGCCCTTCCCTCTGCTCCTGGCATGGACTCAGCAGTACGGCCACTTCCCAGAAGACCCGAGGGGCCAGTCTCCACCTGCTGACGGGAACTCTCGGGAGATATTTATTGCCTAATTTATCTGAGGACCAGTATCAGGGACTTGGTGTTTAGGGAAGTGTTCCATGGATACATGATTTATGAAGTGTACAGGGAACTTTGTGTCTGCAGTTGCAGATGCTGAGAGGTCAGTATTTGAAGGGCTGCAAGGTGTCCGATTAGCATCAATAGCTGGGACTTTCCCATAAGCCACCTGGGTCTGACGCTGATTCCGGCACCTGTTCAAGAGCCCGTTACTTTGTGTAGTCACCCAGTTCTTAGGTTCCAGTCCCCTCTGATGGCTCTGTCTGGGACTCGAAGGCCCCTGTGCTGCCCTCTGCCCAGGGTGCATTTGCTGGCACAGCCGCCGAAGCTTGCGTGGAGCACGTGGCTTCCTTGCCCAGAAGTGGCTCTCAGGTCCCACAGACCTGCTTTCAGATGGATCGGAAAAGTTCTTCTGCTCTTTCTCCTTCGAACAGCGGGGCCCTGGGCAGGGGAGCAGCTGATGGCTCTGGGCTCTGGAGAAGGGCCTTGGTAACATAGGACGTGCACACACACACAGCCACACGCACACTCAGGCCGTGTTTGAGTCCCGGCTCTGCTGTCACAGTGGGCAGCTTGTAAAGTGGTGATAAGAAAACTACCCTCCAAAGTCAGTGGAGAGGAAAGTCAAACAGGTTAGTGGAGTTCTCAGCACCTGGTGTGTGTCCCGGGAGGCACATCCTGGTTCCTAGCTGCCTTCTCCTTGGTCCTGTGGCCTCCTCTCGTCTGCCTGGGAGCAGCCTGTGCCAGTCTGTGTATGCGGGACATCTTGCGGGGGACTGTGCAGGAGGCCCGGCACCCTTGTTGAGTCAAGAAGCTCAAGTTGGTCCAGCCACCTTGCTGGGCCTGGGGAGGCTGGACATCCTGGTGGCTCCCCAAGATTTCTCCCTGGAGGTGTCCCCTTGTCATGTCAGGGACCCGTTTCCAATGAGGTCTCATGCTTGTCCTCTGCTTGCCCCCAGCCAGGCTGCCCTGCATCCAGGGACCTGCCTGGTCCACTTGGCCCACATTTGCCTCCATTTTAGGCAGAATTAACAACCCAAGAGGAAGGTCTGCATGGCTGTATCTGCTGTTTGAGCTAAAGAGCAGAGCACACCCTCTAATAGATGGGTTTAACTCTCCTATTTATTATTCATTAAAACATTTTGCCAGGCTCAGAACTTCTGAAGCGGTTAAACCTGGCTGTCAGCAAGGCTGGGGGCGACTGACAGGCCGCGTATTAATTTAGTGCGAAGTGAGCTGTACAGCCAGTTCACCCAAGTGTGACTGTCTGTCCACCTGCCTCTGCCCTTCCCTCCCACTGGCAGTGAGCGCTCACATGTGTGGACTCCATGCACTGTGTGCCAGGCTCTTTACATCCATGAGTCCCAGCCATCTTTCAGGGACTTAAGGAAGGAAGGAAACCGAGGCCCAGAGAAGGCATGTCTGGCTCGTGTCCCACAGTGACGGTGGAACGGGGGGGGGTGTCTAGCCAGGTCATACTGACAGCAGAGGTCAGTCTCATGTGTTCTGCTGTGTCCCTGCCCTCTGCCAAGTGAGGCAGCTATAGGCAGGGACAAGGTGTGGTCATTGTGTGGTTCTGCCATTGGCAGGGGTTGGGAAGCTAAGCAGGAGGCCAGCCCTCCCACAGACACCCACCCATCACTGTCCCCTGACTTCTCGAGGATGCTGGTGCTTCTAGAAATGAAAGTGGGCCAGTTGAGACACCTTTAGGGGCTCAGGACCGAACGTGATGCTGAGGAACAGGCCAGAATCAGTACCAGACACCACTGGGCTTCACCCATGGTCACCTCCCTCTTGGGCTCTGGTTTCCCCAGCTGTAAAGGGTCTCTGAGGACTGGAGGGTCTGAGATGATGCACTCACTGTGTGCCGCCTTCGGGTGGTGCCTGGACGCCAGATGAGAGTGGGCAGGGTGCAGCCTGGAGCGTTTGCCTAACCCAGCCACTCTGGTCCTACCTCACCTGTGTGGAGCTGTCATCCAGCCACACCATTGATTTCCCCGAGCACCTGCATCGATGGACGGGTCCCCCGGGCTTGGTCTGGTCAGGGAGGAAGGGAGCAGGCAGCTTTGGGGTATTGATCCGACACCCCTTGTCTCCGTCCCCGGGCCCCGCGCCGCCATGTGTTTGCCCATCTCCCCTTAATGTTAGCTCATCGTGTGGCGAGTGCAGACGGCCTTGGCTCACGGGCGGTCTTTCTGCTCTTGTTTGATGGCTCTCAGAGGCGGCTGCTGCGGTGAGTTCATTTGCTCTCACCGTCTTAATGTCGTCGGAGAGACACTCTGCTCCTCTCACAGCAGCCACTCCGCTAATGACTTATTAAAACACAGTTGCCGCGGAGCGGAGCAGCCCGCAGGCTCTGGCTGGGTCCGTGCGGGTGGCTGGCTGAGGCCGCCTGAGTTTCTGCTTGACAACATTTCCTCCTTTTATCTGCTTGTTGTCATTTTAGGACGATGTCAGACCACCTGCTTTCAGAAGAATTTGACAGCCCAGCACACACATGCACACGTGCTCATGCACACACATGTATACAGTCCCCCCCACACCTGCGCATACATGTACAACCAACACACACATGCACACACATGTACAGTTTGCACACATACACCTGCACTCATACCTGCCTGCACACACATACACACGTGTGCGCGCACACACAGTCAGATAAGCCCGTCGAACCCTGACCTGCCATTTTCTGCGTTTTTCTCTTTGGAGTGCCCGCTGTGGGCCAGGTGCAGGGGACAGAGTGGTGAGCAGACAGACGCCCCGGCCTCTGCTCTCAAGTGGGTGAGAGGAGGTGGGGAGATCTCTCCCACGTGTCTGAGCCTGGGGGCTGAGGGCTGAGGGCTGAGGGCTGAGGGCTGAGGGCTGAGGGCT